CCTCCCCTTTGATGCAGGGGTTGTGCCCCATCAGCTCAGTCTTGCAGAGGGGTTTTAGTGCCCCAGGAGGGGCTCTTTGTGGCAGGAGACTCCTCATCCTCGTGCTGAGCTCAGCTTTGACTTGGTGGCAGATTTCGGGATTCGTGGAATCCCAGAGCGGTTTGGGATGGGAGGGAGCTCAAAGCTCATCTTGTCCCACCCCTCTGCTGTGGCCAGGGACACCTTCCACCATCCCAGCTTGCTCCAAGCCCCGTCCAACCTGGCCTTGGACACTTCCAGGGATGGGGCATCCTTTGGGAAATCTGTTCCAGGGCCTCCCCACCCTCACAGGGAGGAATTTCTTTCCCAATACCCCATCTAACGCTGCCCTCTGGCAGTGGGGAAGCCATTCCCCCTTGTCCTGTCCCTCCAGGCCCTTGTCCAAAGTCTCTCCAGCTCTCCTGGAGCTGCATCTCTGTCCTGTTCTGCCCCTGGGAACATCCCCACTTTGCCTTTGCAGCCTGACAGCACCCAGGGCTTGGTTTGCCTCCGTTCCAAATCACCTCATTTAAACCCAGGCACCTTTAGAAACCTTCCCAAAGGGAGAGAGGAGCTTTGCTCACTGAGGAGCTTTATCCAAGGCCAAGTGACATCCCCAGAGGCAACGGAGAAACTGCCCTTTGGATGGAGCAGCTCAGCTCTGCCTGGAAAGTGCCATTTTAGAGCCTCTCACCCTGCTGCAAGGCCCTCCTGGGAGCTCTGGCTTTGCCCCTTTGCCTTGGAAGATTCTGGCTCTGACCCTTTGACCCTTTGCCTTGGAAGATTTTTTTGGCTTTGCCTCTTTGACCCTTTGTCCTTGGAAGATTTACAGCCCCGATTGCAGCGGTGGGTGAACATGGCACAGTGTGGTTTTGGTGGAAGAGAGGCTTGTTATTTTAAGTGTTGTTTCTCTTGTATCCTGCAGTGAGATTTCTTTCTCCTGCACACACAAACATGTGCTCCAGCCAGTTATTCCAGCAAAGCCAGGCTTAAAGGTGGGTAAATGTTTAATAACACGGCCCCCACTCTGCTCTCTTTTGTTGCTGGGGGGGTTCTCTGCAATCCTTTCACCCATCTCATGGCCTTCAAAATACCTGTTCAGATCCAGAAAGCTGCTTTACCTGCCAGGTTGGACAGGGCTTGGAGCAACCTGGTCTAGTGGAAGGTGTCCCTGCTGGAACAAGATGGGCTTTAAGGTCCCTTCCCACCCAAACCATTCTGGGATTAACCTGTGGTTGAACCCCTTGGCTGTGTCCCTGTGAGAAGTTCTCCTTCTCCACACTGTCCAGCAGTGCCTGAACCTCTAGCTCAAAGCTGTAGATGCACCCAAACATGTGCAGCCTCTCCAACTTCACAGAATCCCAGAATATTCCCAGCTGGACGGGCCCCACAAGAACCATCGAGTCCAGCTTTTAAGGGAATGGCCCATAGTGGGGTTGACCCCACACCTTTGGTGTGGTTAGCACTGGGCTCTACCCAGCTGAGCTCATCTCAGGGTCTTCTCTTGACCTTCTCCAGCTGAACACAGCCAGGTCAGAGACACCCCCAGCACCCCCAACAACCCCTTGGCAGCATTTTGCCGTCCGGGATCCGCGTTCGTCCTCCCGTCTCCTCCCGAGGTTTGGAGCGGCCTCTTGGAGAGCCAAACCGGGGCTGACTGGGTGTTTTTCTGCCCCTCCCCAGGAGGAGCATGAAGAGGAAGGCCATGTTCACCTGCCCCTTCAACGGGGACTGCAAGATCACCAAGGACAACCGGCGGCACTGCCAGGCGTGCCGGCTCAAGCGCTGCGTGGACATCGGCATGATGAAGGAGTGTGAGTACGACCCCGGGGGACATCCCAGCTCCAGCTGGCCATGCCCAGCTCCCTCTCGGTCCCCAGGGCTGGGAAGGGCGGCACAAAACCTGGACACCCTCCCGGGACTCGAGGGGGATGCAAAGGGCGGCGGATGTGGTGGGTTAATCATCTGAGAGGAGCTCGTTTAATGATCCCTGTGGGCACCGGGGTGATCCAGGAGCTGCTTTTCCCAGGGCCAAGTGGCTTTTCCCGGCTCTCAAGGGGCATCAGCTTTTTGTGAGAGTGTCCAGGGAGGTTTGTGGTCGATGCCTGGGCACACTGGTTGATTCTGTTGCGTCTTGAATTCCTCGGGTCGTGCTCGAGGGCCTCTCTCTGCACGCCAGAGGGTGATGGTAAATCAGCTGGTTAAATTTTAGGCGTGAGTTTGGGTTTGATTGTGGGGTTTAGACAGAAAAAAACACCTCCTGACACCTAAAGATTATATCCATACCTAAAATATATCGATGTTTTTATCAGTTACTACACAAAGACATTTTTCTGTGTGTTTTGGATTTGGGCAGAAAGTTTCCTGTATCCTCTCTGCTCAGAGCAGAAAATAGGTATTTTTGAGACTGATATTTGTGGTTATTTTCCCCCATCAGTTCTCTCTCAGAGGGGCAGTCCTGCAAATTCCAGTGGACTTGTGTTTTTCCTTACCCTTTGTGTCCTGTGTCTGAGCAAAGAAATTAATGTTTGTTGGTTCTGAATTACAGAGTTCTCATTCACTAATTAGTGTTCTATCTATTGGTTACTGATTTCTCACTGCTTATGTTAATTAGTCCATACTTTTAGTCATTTTAGTATCTTTTTTTTCCACCGGTAGGGACTTTCCAACACAAAGGCTGAGTCTTTGTTGGCCTCTTCTTTATCTTCTGCTTTCTGTAAGATGTCCTCGTGGTCCATAAATTCTGCATTCCAGATGTCCAACTTCAACAGTCCATCTTTCCCTCCCAGGCTTTGTACGTCGGAGCAAATCAGAGTTAGTTTATCAAAACCTTAATTTAAATTAAGACTTTAGTTAAGTTCAATTAAAACTTAATTCTCCCGAGCTGTGTTCCCTCAAAAGCACCTTGTGACAACTTTTGCTAAACGCTGGCTAAGGGTAATTTAAGAATAGCACACTATTCATAATTAATATCTATTGGTTATGATTAATTAAGACAATGATTTAGAAGTTAATTAAAACCATTAACTAAAATTATTTAAAAGTTCTATCCTTCCCAACAGAGCTGGATTGTGTTTTCCTCCTCTGTAGCTCTGGGCTCTTTTTTTTTTGGGCCCTGCCATGTGGGTCCATCCAGCCACGTGCACAGCAGAGCCTTAAGTAAACAGCAGAGGGAAGCAAAGTAGTTTTTAACCCAATCCAAACACGCTAATGTTGCCCAAATATTTATTTTCCTCGGCTTTATTTATGGATAAGCAGCTTTTAAAAACAAAATGTGTTTGACGTGCTCCCCTCCTGCGTCGCACGAGCTCTCCACGTCCCGGCTCCTCGGGAGCAGGTCGGTGCTCATGGAGGGTTCAAACCCAACAACAGCTCCTGCTGGGAGACCGTGGGCAGGGGTGTCCATGGACCTGGAAGCCTGGAAAATGGAAGGGGTGCTCCTTGCCTCGTGTGCTGAGCAGGGAACAAACAGTGCCACCGAAAGCCTCCGGGTTCTCCGGGGAAATCGGAACATGGAGGGGTTTGCAGGGAAGCAGCACCTAAATATTCCACGGTCCTAAAGATCCCTGATGAAGAGAAAAATCTCTGGATCTTATTCTTTTGAACCAGAGGGGGAGAAAGGCCACACAGGGCACCGTCTGCCCCCGAGTTTTGGGGAGCACGAGGAGCCCGTGGTGGGCACTGGTTGTGCAGCTCATTCGGGGCTCATTCGGAGCTAATGAGGGAGACTTTTGACCTGCACTAATTACTGAGGGCAGGCTGGAGAGTGCCTGGGCAGAGATGCCAAGCTGTTTGCTCCAGGTGCCAGGGACAGGCATGTTCTGCACGGGAGTTAACGTGTAAGTGACCCCGTTAGCAAACCGTGACTGGATTAACCAAAACCAACCCCCCGGGACTAAAAATAGCCTCCCATGGACTTTGCCACCGGACACTGCTGTTATTTTTAGATGGAATAAGGCATCTTGAAGCTTTTGAGGGGGTTGGTGTCTTCCACAAGGCTGTTGTTTGTGTTGTTTGGGAATGTCTCTGTCGCTCTGGAAGGCAGGTCTCGAGCCTGGGGATGCCTCTGGCTGCCCCGTTCCCTTCCTGCTGCTTTTTCCTGGGATGATAATGATAATTCCTGGCCTGAATGGGCTGTAAAGCAGGGCTGAGGGTCTGGGGCTGGACTATCCCACCTGCTGGTTTAGGTGGCCAGAAAATGGGGGGGGGGAATTACTCCTTCCCTGCAAAACTGCCCTTTTTCCAGCAGCCTGGAGCTGAGGAAGGGACACCCATCCCTCAGGGGTTGGATCCACACCGTGGGGTGTTGGATGGGCTCCCTCAGGGAATTCACCTCCCAGTGTCTCTGCCCCTTCTCCCCCAGCCTTTAACAGCTCCTGTGTTCTCAGTCTTCACGTGTTCTCCAGAGAAGGTGGTGCCACTCAACCCTCAGCACCCCTTATCCCTTTCCCAAGGAAAAGGCTTGCTGGGATGTGGCTGGAGCCCTGAGCAGCTGGTGCTCAGCACCCTCCCCACGAGGTTTGATTTATGATCTCAGGGCTGAAAATCCCCAGAGGGGAGGAGAACAAAAACAGAACCAAACCAGCATCTCACAGCCAGGGAGAGGAGCAGAAGTGGGAAGGAATTTCCCTGGAATTTCCCCAGATGCTCAGGAAAGCAGGAAGGGTTATGGTTGTGTAGGGTGAGAGTGAGCAGGGGGGGACACGACCTCTCCTGCTCTCCTCCACTTCCCAAAGAGGTGGTGGCCCTCAAAGCCAAGACATCCCTGCTGCTCTAAGCATGGGATGTGTTATTCCCGAGTCCAGGAGCCGCTGCCAGGCTCTGGCACTCCCAGATGTTTCCTAAACTTCCTTTTTCTTTTATATTTGGCTGCTCTTTCCTGCTTGATGGAGCCTTTGTGCTGCTCCCCCCCCCCTCCCCCCATCCTGCAGCACTCCCAATCCCCTGGTTTTGGCCAGGGGCGCAGAGTTGGATCCTCACCCTGTATCCCTGTATCCTCGTGCTCCACAATCCCAGGGGTGTTGGCCGTGGCTTTCCCTGCTGCCTTGTGGCGTCTCCACAGAGGGCCAGTGTCTGGCTGGACGTGATGGGCAGATGTTATCTCGGCCTCCACACGGATTTGGGGTCAGGGCAGCCCGCAGAGGCTCAGCCATGGCGCCGGCTGTGCCAGGAGTCTGTGGCTGGATGGCTCTGGCTCGGCGCTCGGAAAGCTCGGAGCTGGGATGGGAGCTGAGATCTCAGGGCAGGTGTTGAGCCGCTTCCCAGCCCTGTATTCCCACTCCCATCCTCCCGTGAGTCCAAATAAGCATTGAATCCTTTTCCCCAGCACTTTATAAAGCAGTGGAGGGGGGGTCACTGCGCTGACATCCCTCATCCACCTTATCCCTGCTCCTGTGGGAAAGCCGGTTCCTCTGGCACGGAGCGTTTCAGGTTTGCTGCTAATCACCAGAAACAGCTCCTGCCAGGCTGAGAAATGCCACTGCCAGACTGTTACCAGCCTGGTTGAGGGCTGGATTCCCTAAAAGAGGGTGGGAAGTCCCAGGCTGACTTCCCCGGCACTCTTTCCGCAGCACAGAAACATCCTTATCTTTCCATTCCGCTCTGAGGAATGGTTGGGTGAGGATTATGGTTATGGTAAAAATATATTTTCGTGTGGGAGGTTCTTGTTGAAGGTGATTTTGGCTTGCTAGAATTATAAGAGGTAGAAGTCAACAGGATAGAACTAATAAGGGGGATGAAATTTGATCGGTTCCAAGTCATGGTGATAGGTTTTTGCCTTCTAATGGTCCTGGGGTCATAGAATAGTTTGGGTTGGGAGAGACCAATAGAGGTCATCTAGTCCTTGCAGGATCCCAAATTTGCCTGGTGTAACCTGCAAGAATCCCCTCTGAGGCCCCGATCCTTGGGACACTTCCAGCACTGCGGCCACAGCCAAGGGCTTGGCTTTGCCCCATCCTCCTCCTCAACCCCACACGTGGCTTCCCCCACCAGTTTCTCCCCATGCCCACATGGATCTGATGCTTTTGTACGAAGAACTGGGAGGGGGGATGGCAAAACTCTTGATTTCTCTCCCCGAGCAGTCGCGCCGTGCCCCGCGGAGCCGCCGTAACGCGCCCGCGGCCGAGGTGACCTTTCAGCTCTATCTGCTCATTCCCGTCTCTCCGAGACCTTCTGGTGCCCTCTGAGGTTGTGCAAGTTTGAAAAGGGATCGGAAAAATGCCGCTGGCTAAAGGAGCAGGGACAACAAACAGCTCCTTGCCTGGAGCCCCGCGGCTGCAGCTCCCTCCGCCCTCCGCCAACCTCTCGGCCCAAATTCCACCTCGACTCGCCCAGAGTCAAATCTCCTCACGCAGGGCAGGCTCAGCCACCTCGGCATCAGATAACACGCTTGGGGTTTTCTGTAATGCCCTGGTGAAAGGGCTAATAACAGCCTGAGGAAGGGGAATTGCTATTTTTAGGTGGATGTGTGTTACCAAGCGCTTTCGGGAGCGGGTGACGCGGCTACGGGGATGGAGGTTGAACCCAAGAGATCTGTGCAGCTCCCTTGTGCTTTTCTTCTCTTTCAGCCCTCTCAGGCCATTCAGGTCTCCAAGCTCTTTTTTATAAAGTTAAGATTTGAGCCCAGATTGCCTGTGGCTGCTCCCCTTCCCTAAATAAAGGGGACAATCCTAGTGTATTGCCTCAGAGTCCAAGGGCCATCACCCCTAACACAAGCCATAAATACCCACCCCTGGGAGCGGGGGGTGTTTATGTGTGCCCTTAGCTTAAACATAAGGTTAGAACTCCCCTGGGGATGCTGCAGAAGTGCTGCTGGATACCCAGGGTGGCAGCTGGGGCTGAGCGGAGCTGCGCTGGGCGCTGGAGCTGGGCGAACCCACTGACCCGAGTCTGGCGGGATCAGGATTTCTGTCACCTGGAAAGCACAGAGCAAACAGCGAGGGAGCAGAGCGGGCGTGTGGCAGTGCTCGTGTGGCCTTATCTCACCCAGCCCTTGCCTAAAAGCACCATAAACTGCCGGGCACAGCGGGAAGCCGTGACCCGGCAGCCGAGGTGACAGCGGGGTGGGGTCGATGCAGGTTCAATGACTGATCATCCAGGCGATGGGGACACTCTCTGCCGCAGCCTGGGGTCGCTCCAGTCCCTGTTTCTGCCCCTTCCCCTGCCCCACAGTCATCCTGACGGACGAGGAGGTGCAGAGGAAGCGGGAGATGATCCTGAAGCGCAAGGAGGAGGAAGCGCTCAAGGAGAGCCTGAAGCCCAAGCTCTCGGAGGAGCAGCAGAGGGTCATCGACATCCTGCTCGAGGCCCATCGCAAAACCTACGACCCCACCTACGCCGACTTCTCCAAGTTCCGGGTACGGACGGGCCGCCCCCACCCCCGTGGGCAGCCCCCCGATGCTCCAAACCCCTCTCACCCCTCAGAGAGGAGTTAAAAATACCCCTGTGGAACCCTCGCTGCTCGTGGCAGCAGGTGAACAACCACCGCGCCTCTCCCCTTCCCGGCCCCGTCCCTCACGCCCTGCCCTTCTCTTCCAGCCCCCCGTGAGAAGCCACCCCAACAACAGGGGGGCAACAAAGTCCTCCTCTCTCCTCACCCAGGACCTGTCAGAGGAGGATTCCACTGATCTCTTCGGCTCCGATGCCTTCAGCACATTCCCAGGTACCACACTCACTTCCCCAGGGGTGACAGGGGAAGAAATGCAGTAGTTTGACCTAAATCTGACACTTCAGACCCTTGTTTTACCTCCTGTGGCTGTAAAACCCTCGTGGGGGTGTTGCACTGTCAAGCCCTGAGCGTCTCCCTCTCTCCAGACTCCGTGGAGCCCCGGATGTTTTCAAACCTGGTCCTGTCCGAGGAGAACGACGAGAGCTCCTCCATGAACATCGAGTTCTCCCAGCTCTCCATGCTCCCACACCTGGCTGACCTGGTCAGCTACAGCATACAGAAGGTGATCGGCTTTGCCAAAATGATCCCGGGATTCAGGTGAGACGTTTGCTCCCAGGTCTGGCATCCAAGGTGGTTTTCCACTCTTGGGAATCCTGTCCTGCCCTCCACAGCCAGATCGTGTTCTCTGCTTCCCCTTCACAGCTGTCCCTCGGCTCTGTCCCCTTCCCAGGTCTGTTCCTACTTTGACTTTTTCTCTCTCCTCCTTCCTGTGGTTCTCCTCTCCTCTCTTTCCAAACTCTGGAAAATTCACCCAAACTCTGTCAGCGAAACAACTCAAGCTTCTGCACCCTGAGGGGTTTGTGAAGGGCCCTCAGGTTCTCTTTCACTCCAGGCTGGTGCCCAGGGCATGGACAAATTCACCTGCAGGAACTCCTGACACAGGAACCGTGGGGAGGGAAGAGCTGGGCTGCCCCAGGATGGGGTGACCGATGGGACCCTGACAGGGGTGGTGGTTTCTGTCCCTCTGCTCGTGGACAAGTCTCACCTCAACCTCCCCCCCATGTGGTGCAGGGACCTGTCAGCAGAGGACCAGATTGTCCTGCTGAAGTCCAGTGCCATCGAGGTGATCATGCTGCGCTCCAACCAGTCCTTCACCCTCGAGGACATGAGCTGGACCTGCGGCAGCAACGACTTCAAGTACAGGGTCAGCGACGTCACCCAAGGTAAAGCTGCCAGACCCTCCCCTGCTAAGGAATCTCATCCCAGCCTTAAGTTCAGGCACAGAAATCCCGTGGGTTTTTCCCTGGAAAGCCATTCCCTCTGCACCCATCAGAAAAGGTGCTGGACCCTGCCCTGAACCTCTTCCACTTGAGGATTTGAGGGCCAACATTAAGAACAGGGGGTGCAGGTGGCAGAGCAGGACCTTAAATCTCCATGGGAGATCCTCTTCCAGAGCCAGCCGTGCTAAAGGTCCGTTCTCTTCCCAGCTGGCCACAGCATGGACCTGCTCGAGCCACTCGTGAAATTCCAGGTTGGCTTGAAGAAGCTGAACCTTCACGAGGAAGAGCACGTGCTCCTCATGGCCATCTGCATCCTGTCCCCAGGTAGGATCTGGCCAGGGGTTGGCGTGTCCCCAAAGAAAAGGGTGGGAGTCACCTTGAATACTGGGAGTGGTTTTGGGCACCACAGTATAGGGCAGATATTGAGCTGTTGGAGCGTCCAAAGGAGGGTAATGAAGGTGGGGAAGGGCCTTGAGGGGCTGAGGGTACTCGGTGTGTCCAGCTGGAGAAGAGGAGGCTGAGGGGAGACCTCACTGGGGGCTTCAACATCCATGGAGGGGCAGAGGAGGGGCAGGGACTGAGCTCTGCCCTGGGGGGAGCAGGGACAGCACCCAGGGAATGGCTGGAGCTGTGTCAGGGCAGGGGCAGGGTGGATCCCAGGGAAAGGTTCTTCCCCCAGAGGCTGGTTGGACACTGACCAGGCTCCCCAGGGCAGTGGGCACAGCCCCAAGGCTGCCAGAGCTCCAGGAGGGTTTGGATGATCCTCTGGAGCACATGGGGTGACTCCTGGGGACAACTGAGGGTTGGACTGGACGATGCTTGGCGGTCCCTTCCAACTCGGCACCTCCCGCGATCCCTGGTGTTCCCCAGACCGCCCGGGCGTGCAGGACACCTCGCTGGTGGAATCCCTGCAGGACAGGCTCTCGGAGATCCTGCAGACCTACATCCGCTGCCGGCACCCGCCCCCGGGGAGCCGCCTGCTCTACGCCAAGATGATCCAGAAGCTGGCGGACCTGCGGAGCCTCAACGAGGAGCACTCCCGGCAGTACCGCTGCCTGTCCTTCCAGCCCGAGCACAGCATGCAGCTCACGCCGCTCGTGCTCGAGGTCTTCGGCAACGAGATCTCCTGACTCGGGTGTCCCGGGGAGCTGAGCCAGCCACGGGGGGAAGGGAGAAGCCAGCCTGGCTTTTCCCGAGCTCCCGGGCAGGAGTTTTGTACCTTGGGTTTGGTTTCGAGCTCCTGGAAGCCCTGCTTTGTTTGCAGGTTGGCAGGGATGGACCCGGATCCGTGTGGTTTCCCCACCAGGAGCAGCTTTCCCTGCTGTCTGTGCGAGCCGATTTATCCCTTTATGGATGTTTTGAGGCTGGGCTGCCTCAAATCCCTTCTTTTTTTCACCTGGACAGTGGGGCTGTTGGGAAGGAGAAGCACTTGGGGTGGTTTTGGACTCAGGGCACCGCTGACCATCCTCTGCTCCCACCCTAAGTCCCGCAGCACTCGCCCCCTGCCCACTTCCAAAGGGAGATGCCAGTGGGATTGAACACCCCGAGTCCCAGCCAGGAGGGGCCGTGTCCCCACGGGTGACCAGCTCAGACACATCCCGGGTGCCACCGTTGGACTGGGATGGGCCAGAGGTGGCTGAGTGAGCTCAGAGAGGGGGAATTTGTCCTCAGCCCCCAAAGGAAAGAGCTTTATTTGCATTCCCAGCACTGCCTGGAGGTGGGGGGCAGGGGAATCTCTGGGTGACTTCCCCCCCCCCCCCGTGTTTGGAGCTGAACCCCTCTGTCTGATGGGATGACAACCCCCGAGATGGGGCAACGACCCCCGGAATATGGAGGTGACCACGGTCCCAGCTCGGCTTCCTCTCCCTGCCGTGTTCTGTGTCCTGCTGGAAGCAGCCCTGGAGGCAGCTCCGTGCCACTGTCCCGACCCGGGGCCGATGGAGCGAACCCCGGGAAGGGGGATTTGAGATTTGGGAGCTCCGGGAAGAGGCGTCACAGCCCCCCGGGCCGTGCACAATGTCCGGAGGGGCCCCGGCTCCCGGCGGCTCCTGCTCCGGCCAATAAACTCCTGCTTGGGCAAATCAACACAGCCCCGGGCTGGCCTGGGGGCTGCGTGTCCGTCTGTCCATCCGTCCGTTTCTGCGTGTCCATCCCGCTCTGTCCGTCTGTCCATCCGTCTGTCCGTCCCTGTGTGTCCATCCCAGTGTGTCTATCCGTCCATCGGTCCCCGCGTGTCCCTGTCCGTGTGTCCCCGTGTCTCTGTGTCTCTCTCCTCGTGTTCCTGTCCCCGTGTCCGTGTGTCCCTGTCCGTGTGTCCC